AAACAATCAATACTTGAAGCTAGAAATTAAAGGATTCAAAGTTCTATTTAGTGACTAATATGAAAACTAAAAAAATCTGTGCTCAAAGTAAAATATCAACATACACATATTTAATATAAAAGCTAAGACTAAAATACAATTAAAATAAACATGAGTCTCGAAGTCACAGATTTCAAAATTTCATTAATGACCAGTTACAGAACAATACAAACGTGGGGGACTTAAACTGAGATTTACCCCTTTTGAAAATACGCAGAAGGCTCCCCACTGAAACGGCACCGCTTCGCTCAAGGTATAAATGGCCCTTTTAACCCCCAAACCGACCATTTATATCATTTTACACAAAAGGAGAGAGAAAATAAGAGAGAGAGATCCATAAATCTCTCTGGAAACAGTGAGATTCTACTGTGTCGGCTGCCACTGATCGGCAGCCGCCATTGTACGCTGACGCCAAAGGGAGAGAAAATAACGCCATTCGAAGCATCTCCAGGCCCTGAGCAAGGATTTGGCCCTCATTTGGCCTAAAAGTGGCTCAATCATGGTGGATCCGAGAAGAAACCGAAAGGTTTCTCCATCTCTTGTGACTCAGTTTTCATCGGTGTTCGACCGAGGTATGATATCTCTTCTCTCTTCTTTTCTCTAAACCCGAATAATCATTTATTTTTTCTGGTTATCACCAAATCATCCCCCCGTTTCTCTCTTTTTGATTTTTTTAAACCCCCCAAATTCCCTTGTCTCCTCTGTAACACCTCTAACCTGTACCCGACTCGGATACGAGTCCGAGGTGTCACATTGACCAGTCAAAGTATATACTTTTATAAAAACCATAGAAAATTTAAAACCTTTTTTCTATAAAGTAATTCTTTTACATAAACATATTTAAAACCTTAACAGACTCCATCAGAGCGTACATATATATATCATGACTTAGTTACATGCCAACATACTAAATTATATTACAAGACATACTTTATAAAATATTTCTGATCTGAACCTTGCGCAGAGGTATGCTGCTCTACGGATCTGAAACTTGATCTTCTAACTTATCCACACCTACGTGTAAAACATTTACACGCTAAGTCATAGACTTAGTGAGACATGTAAATACATAAAGTAAACTAACAAATGCATTAACATCCCATATAACACATATTATACTTATTTACCTATTAAACCCATCACTTACCGGTTTATCCTTACTTATTTCCTTATCATTGATTCAATTCCATCAAATAGCATATATTGAACATAAACATATAATATAACTTCAAACACAACAATACATTGATAATTACTATGATCATATCATACATAACCATATCATATCTCATATCACTATTACCCATATACACTTGTTACCCTTATTATCATATAATCCTAACTTGTCACTTATACATATCGTTATATTAAATTATGGTTTCTTTTCAAAGCCCATGCACACTATTGAGAACTTAAGGTACGTAAGTACATAGAGGTTGTGCACTATGCTGTCACCACAGCTCGTATAAATCCCACTAGGGGCGCGTAGAATTTGTCCCGAAGGACCACGTAGATGTCCCGAAGGACCACATATAACACATATATCCCGAAGGACCACTATGTCCCGAAGGACCGCGTAGACCCTCGACTCTTGGCATGCCAACTATACCTATAGCTCTCATAACACATGACATGGACATTATCTTTTACCTCATTACACATTCACATATTCATATCACATAGTTCTTTCACATAGCTCTTTATCACATTTCATATAATCACATAGTCACGTAGTTTACTTTCACGTAGTATTTTCCATGAAATTCACATTATTCATCCTTTTCACGCATGGTCACATCACATATACCTTTTTCTCATATGCATATAACATATTATTTCTTATCTTTTAACATATATTACATATGCATATAATCTTATGTCTTATTATCAATATCTAATCTATCTTATTATGCTAACATATCATATAGCATTCTAATAGAAGCACATATGAGTCATATTATTTTCATATATATTTTATCATACATTTCATGATCACATGACCTATTATCATAATACAAGTATTTACATAGTTCACACATAAAAATGCATTCAACAATTAAACATATGCATTTACTCATATACCATAAATCTAACACCATATCACTACATGTTTATGCTTTAATACTTATATCATATAATATCGGAATTGGACTCATCGCAAATCTTAATTCCTTAACATAACGTACACTTACTATCATGTACTCACCTGGTCTTAATGAACCCTCTTAAACTCTTATTTCCTTTGCGTATCTTACTCTGTCGACCTATCCAAACTTTGCTTTCGATCGATGTCTACATAATTATGTATTGATACTATCAGTATCCAATTGATATACTTTAATCTATCATTTCATAGACTGAATAACGATTTATTTCATTTCCCATTGAAGTGCATCGGTGCATTCTTCAGTGCATAGATGCATTCTTTAACATGTGCATCGATGCACTACCATGCATCGATACACAATTTACATTCGATGTTTTCTTTTTAAGGGGATGTATCGATGCACTCCTCATGCATCGATGCACTCCTCATGTATCGATGCACTCCTCATGCATCGATGCACCAACTGTACTCGATGTTTATTTATTTGAGAGTGCATCGATGCACATTAAAGATGCATCGATGCACACAACTCAGAAATTACATTTTGATCCCGAAAATTCTTACTTTAACCTCAAATTCTACTTATTAACCATTTCTTATGCCTTAAAACTTATCTATACATGTATCAACCTTCTTATAACACTATAAAACTTTACCATCTCCCATAATCCACCATAATTCTTGAATCAAAGAATTTCATTAAATTTTCCATGTGTTTTAAATTCAATTCTATCACCTTTAACTTCTTAATTAACCCATTGACAAGTCAAATCCATCTTTAAAACTTTAAAAACCTCTTTATATCCAGAATTTATTTCTCAGCCCTTAATCAAATTTCCTTTCTAATTCTCTCCTTTTGATGTTTTAAGCTTATATAAGCTTTCCTTAAGCTTATATAACACTCATGGAATAAAACCCAACTTAAACATTCAAGAATTAATCATAAAAATTAAAACTCACCTTTGAGGTTTGAGCTTGAACCCACGGGAAGAAGAAATGAATAAGGAAAAGAAGAGTTCTAGATCACTCTTCACATCCCACGTGTTTCATTCTTAATAAGGGAAAGAAAATATATTTTTAAACTAATTACCATAATGCCCTTTACTTATTCCATAATTATGATTTAATCCAATACTGAAATAGTCCTATTTAAATTCTTGAACTTATCAATTTCCTTAAATTGATCCTCAAATTCCAAAAATTCTCATTTTAGTCACTAACCCAAATTTTGGGATGTTACATCCTCTGTATTCTTTTCTTTTATTGATGCATGTTTGATTTAATGGTGATGGATGAAGCCACGAACTAGGGAAATGATTTCCCTATATTTCTAGGATTTTTTCAGATTTCCTAACTGTTGATATGATTTTTGTCATTGTTTGATGGTTTAGTGGGTCACTGTTGGTGCAGGGAAGGACGACGACGGCGTCAGGAGCGACAACAGTAGGCAACGGTGGTAGAATCATATAGGGTTATGATAAAACCCTAGGTTAAACGGGTCAGGTCGGTCCATATCCGGGTAGGATGAATCAAATGGGTTCCCATCAGTTTGGGCTTGGGTTGTAACTGGGATTGGGTTTGAGTGATCCGGGCTTTGGGATTGGGCCCTATATCTGGGCTGCTGGGACTTGTTGTAATTAGGTTGGTCTCTAATATGGGCTTCGAGTAAAGCCTACAAAAAAAAATGTAATTTGTATATCAATAAAAATAATAAAAATAATAGTAATAATAATTATAATAATAATAATAATTAAAATAAATAATAATAAAAAAGACACAGACAAAAACGGGTGTCTACACTCGTTAATAAATTATTTTTTGTATTACTTCAATTATTGTCAGTGACAGATGTAAGTGTAGTCTAGGTTGAGTATATATGAAATTCAATTTTTTTCCTGTTAGTTATTCATTTTAGCGTTGTGTCCACTCTAAAAACTATTTATGGATCTATCAATGATTTTTGTATTTGTCATTTTCGTATGCATGATTAGCCTAGATTTTAAACTTACAATTATTGGGTTATTACCAAAGAGAATTAACTTGTCTAACTTTTCAAATCCGATGGTTCTTTCAGATTTTTCTTTTTTCAGCTAAGAAAATACAATACATATAAATGAAAATACATATAAACATTATGTTATCGATATTCTTTTTTCATTTATGGTTTTCAAACTCTGGCATTAACTTAATAATATGCTTATAAACTTCAATGTCAACATCCAACATAAAGTACATCAAGCACTTGCTCTATATTTCTATTGATTCACAACCAACTATTAGAGGCTATGACCTTAAACGATGGATGTTAAAGACTACATTCTTTTTATTGAATTAATTTAAAATTATGACCAATTTGATAGATTGTGTCAGTAACAAGGATTAAATATGTAATTATACAAATTTTATTAACTGTCACGTCAGCACTTCCGTTAATTGTTAACAATAAGTGGCTTGATTGAATGTACTTAAATAGTTTAGTGACCTGATTGAGAAAATTTCAAAAATTATGATCAAAATGAAAAGAGACAATAGTTAGGTGATCATTGTTATAATTTACCTAAAAAATTATGAAAAATAATATAATAAATATTTTATTTTTATTAATTTACCTTTAAATTTTCAATTAATAATTTCTTCAACCGAGATTAAAGAAATGGAGATATGACACGTAGACCTTATGCATGAATAACATACACGCCTCACACATATTTCTCCCGTAAATAACACCCAAGAACCTCAACTCAAGAACATACTTTTTCAAGTTACTGTACAAATTAAATCCTGGTAATTGATAAAACTGCCTACCGGGGATTCTACACCTTCCGATTTCATTAACACTAACTTTTTGTACTCATCCTGCTAGCTAATTGAACACAGTCGCCGTCGGTGTTAACCCGGAATTTCGACACAGATGATCTCCTCTCTTTTAAGTGAGTTTCCGGTACGACTCGGGAACAACCTTGAGAAAGAATATTCTTTGAGTTTAACTACGAAAGCAAATGCGCCATAGGCCGGTAAGTGCATCGTTCCGACTAAAAGGTACCTGTTCGGACCGACATATATAGCAACGGAGACGGAAGCAAGGTTAGCAATGTACATGGAGAACATACGTGCGTGCGTGAAGATTAAAATGTGTACCAGAACGGAGCATAAAACGGTGTCAAGTCAAGGAATGGATATGGCCACCTGCAAAGAGACAGATGCCACAATGTGAGAAAAAAGCCTTTGACAACACACACAGATATAATCCAAAAACAGATATAGAACTATACCAAAGGTTATAATAAGCATGGACGAGCCATTGGAATATAACGAAGATGCTGGTCCATAAGAAAAAATACGCAATTCGGAAAAACGGGAACCGCTGCAACGGAAAGCGGTAAGATCAGCTCCGCAATCGATCGAAAGATACTCGAAATAAGATGCTGGTATGAGTATTAAACAAAAGCAAGACTCACCATGCAATTCAAAATTGAGTCACAGAGTAGGAAAGCAGCGTTGACAGAGTGCATACAGATAATAAGCATCTGCAGTAAGATATGGTTTCAGTCATAGGCAAGCAACACCAGTTCCGAAAACTTGGGAAAATTAGAGTTAGCGGCCTCGTACTTACCAAATCGACACCGTATGGTGTCGAAGTCAGAGATGGAAACAGAAGGATCCAAAATACCAAATCAGTGAGCATTGATGCACCTGCAGAAGCCTATTCAAAGGCAGTTAAGATGATGTTCAGCTATTTTGCACTATTTTTTGGAAACTATTAGAGAAAGAAAACATACTTGATACATAATTTGAAAGAAATAAATCCATCGACCGGCTATTTCGCGGTCATTCGAAAGTTCAGACTCATTGGATTCATGGATTCCCTGCTCGGTATCTGAACTTACAAGATCGGCTCTATCGTAACAAGCTTGTGCCCAGTGTTTTTGACATCCGTATATGGAGATTACACATCCAAGCTGCAATTAAAACGGAGAAGATCAGCAATCGAAAACCGATGAATTATCATACTTCAAAACGAACATATCAGAGACATACCATAAAGTATGTTGTGACCAGAGTAAATGTCCACCTGTTGAGGAACATACAGAGAATAATCATCAGGCAAGTCCAAAATGGTACAACTAGAACCAATGCAGAATAATAAATCACTCACTGTGTATAAAAGAAGAAGATGCTGAACCCGTCGATGACGACATTGAGCACAAGCAACGTTAAGAGCGTGATGAAAGCCAACATTCGAAAACCGAGCAGCCAAGCCGGATGAATGCTTTTGAGACTTGTATTCCAAGCTTCCTCCTTATATACCTCCCCGGGACTAACCGTATGGTTTCCTGTACCCCGACGATTCGATCTTTTCCGGCCTTCGAATTTGGAAATTAAAAATGTGGCCACCGCCAAGTAGAACAAGATGAAAATTGCACAAACGAAGAACCGCCAATTCAACCAGTAGCTTGAGGTGGCGGTGATTTCGGCAGTCATGATGGGCTGCCAAGAATGTGTTGAGAATCCTGTACAACAAAGCTCATGAAATTGAATCCTACTTGCTATCATAATTTTATCAAAGAATATAAATGAAAACAAATATAACATCTTTTTCAGAAATATATTATCAAAATCCAGACGAATGTTATAGATATTTTGCAATGAACAATGGAAAAATATCAGAAAAAAGAAAAATTACAAAACGCTTTTAATTTACCTTTGACCGGAGGGAATTATTTTATGAAGCCGGCTGAGGCGGAGGGGAGGCCACGGCAGGGCAGGTGATCGGTGTGCCGATGGAACGGTAGCAGAGATGCCGGTGAGCTTCGAAACCTTCAGAATTTCTTCAAATACCAGAAAACTTCAATGACAATCGTAAGGACAATGATAATGACAACGGTAAAGATAATGAAAATGGTTATATATTTTGTCTTTTGAATTGAATATTTGTTATTTGTTGTTGAATCTTAGAAGAAAGTTTTATTCTCGAGAAACAAAGATTTTATGCAAAAAAACCAGACAAATGAATTGCCAACCATGAGACAAGGATATTCTCAAGAATTGTCCGATTGAATTATATATATATTGAAAAATATTTAATATTAAATAAATAAACTATATAACAATCTTTGTTATCATTCAAACAAGTTTCAACATCTTATGCAAAAACAAATTCGTAATTATCCGTTATTCGCTAAAATAATTTTTTTATATAACTGTAAAAACCATGTAAAATTTCTCGTAGTTATATTTCAATATATATTATCCTCTTTGCTACTTTATAAAAAATATTTTAGCGACAATAGTAGCAATTTATTAACAAAGAACTATTTTATATTTTTGTTTTATAAATATGTTGTATTACGTAGGTAAAGTATACAAATGGTCTGTCGAATATAAAACGTAGTTTTGTCGAGTCTCTTAATGTTGGAAGTTATAAAATAGTCTCCGACTATAAGATATTGTTTTGTTGAGTCTTTTTACTATTAAGAGTTATAAAATAGTTGCTTGATTATTTATATGTTCCAAACTTGTTCTTTTTTCGTTAAAAAAATTAACGACCGTCTGAGCTGGACGTTAATATGTTGACTGAGATATGATAAAATTTGATCCCATAACCGTTTGAGATGTATTTTGTGGATCGACTCCCCGTTTATATTATGCCTTTGAGTCAGTGCTTGAAAGCAACAGTGGTGTCAGGCATCATTAAATATAATTTTATCATTCTCAATCAAAGGTTTAACGTCCAACTCGGGCATCAATTTTTAATGAAAAAGAATGAGTTTGAAACATATTAATAATTCAATGACATTATGTAATTTTTAATAGTCAAATGACTCAACAACACAACATCATGTTGTCAGAAATCATTTTATAAATTTTTAATAGTCGATGAGCTCAACAAAACAACGTTATATAGTCTGGGAATCATTTGTATGCTATACCCTAATATTTATTCAAGAAAACAGTAAACTGCTACGAGAATGCAACTACAACCAACTAACAACTAAAGTTGCCATGTATTCGAAGTCTTGGATTTACAAATTCGTCCATTTTAGTCTCTTTACAAGTTTCTCATCAGAAGACAGAGAATACCAGCTAATCCTTCCAAAGAAAATATTAAACATTGTTGGTTAATCCTATTAAGAACTAAAATTCACGTAATGAATTCCCTGCATGCTTACGAGACCAGCTATGAAGGCTAGCAGTAATTCTACCAACCCGTGTGAATGTTACGTTAATATCTAAATCGTCGACAGTTGAAATTGAATCCGACAAAATTATTATATTTGTTGATAATTTTACTCTATTTCTTTTATATTTTTAGGATCAAATTAAAAGAAAGTTAAAAGTACAAGAATAAAAATGATTTTTTAATAAAAATTAACTATAAAATGACGAGTTTAAAGAAGATATTTAAGTTACATTGATGTTTGAACTATACGTATAAGAAATTAAAATTATATAGACCAAAATAAAAAAAATCAAAATGTTTAAAACTATGTGTTTGATTTTAATTTTTTTGGGTATTTATTAATAATTTTAAATCTTTGACTTTGTTCTTTTTTAATCGTGATATTATTAAAGTCGATGGTAGCTACCGACAACTTTAGTTTAATTACAATTTTTGTTTGTACCACATGACCAAATTGAAAGGAAAATAACTTACAAATATCAAAATAAAAATCTCAAGCATTTTATTATAAAATTAGACATATAATCTTTTATAAAAATTAATGATATAAATAATGAAGGGAATAAAATCATCCAACCATCAATTTAATTGTTTTTTTTTATTTTAATTATGTTTTAACGTCAAAAGAGTAGAATCTGCATGGATATGTAAAAAATAAAAATAATTGAAGTATTTTATATATAATGCTTCAAACGGTAAATTTTAGATTTAGGAGAAATTGAAGTACTCACATGGGATATACATTTCATCTACGGCTATGCAATAGGAGAAGAAGCCAGCCGTTTACAGACATGTTGTAGCCCTTTAACCCGGACTAGGAATTACAATTTAAAAAGATTGAAAGCAAAAATTTAACATCATACAATATGAAATCGAGACTACTCCGATAGTCGAACCAATTACACATCTAGATAATATGAAATTATAAACAGAAACAGAGTGAGTTACAAAGCTCAGTGTGCCCTCTAAATACAAATAACAATAAAACAATCAAGTAATAGAAATCATATAGAGTTTCTCACAACCTAATATCTGGTCATAGACGAATAAAATGAAAAACATTACCTGCTGAAAGGAATCTGAGACCACCAAAGTGGACCCAGAGCAGAAAACAGAAATTACGATGGGGACGTTACCCTCCGAAGAAGAGCTCGAGTTAATCTCAAAGGAGAACTCATCAGAAATCAGAGACATGACAGGGATATAAATCCCATACAGAAATAGGACGGGATATAATCCCATATAGAAACAGGACGGGATATAATCCCATATAGAAACAGGACGGGGATATAATCTCATTCAAAATCAGGACGGGATGTTGCCCTCCATAAAGGATCCCATGCAGAAACAGGACGGGAATATAATCTCATGCATAATTAGGACATAGATGTTACCCCCTGTAAGGGATCCCATGCAAAAACATGACAAGATATAATCCCATGCAAAATCAACCATGCAGAAACATGACGAGATATAATCACATGCAAAATTAGGACGGGGATATTTCATCCAACATCTTAATTTTTCCACAAAATTACCAATAGAATCCCTTAGGAACTTCTAATGGTCATAAAAATCACACTACAACAAAATAGGTTTATAGCAGCATTTTAGCAGCATTTTTAGAACAAACGCCGCTAAAGACTATACTTTAGTGGCGTTTTTACACAAACGCTGCTAAAGACTGTACTTTAGCAACGTTTTTAGACAAAATGCCGCTAAATACTCGTACTTTAGTGGTGTTTTTAGTACTTTAGCAGCCTTTAATAAGCATTAGTTAGGCATGTTTAACTTCCAATGGAACTTTTTTTTCCAATTTGGAAATTCGTAGAAATTATCTAGAAACAACTTATGTTGTCAAGGTAATTCTTATTTATTTTCTTTTCTTTTTTGCCAAAAAAAGAAAAGAAAAAAGAAGCGTTTTTATTTCTGATATCTGATCTGGTACATTTGTGAAATAAATATCTCATCAATTGATGGAAATGATAGGGAAGCCATAACTATGTTACTGTCAGTTTAGAAAGTTTGAATTCTAAATTCTTATTCTTACTGTTTTTCTTACCGTAGTTAATATTTTCCACCTTTGATGTTGTTCCTTGTGTTTCCAAAAATGCATGATGCCTTTGTGGTGCGGCATATCATTTTCATTTTCATGATCATTCTTTTGTTTTTTGGATCCTCAGATTGTAATATTTAATGCCTTGCACTATATAGATATTTATCTGATTCATTTAATATGTTGTTTGCAGCTTCTACGAATACATCGAAGGATAAATGTTAACCAGAGTTCCCTTGGTCATGAAGAGGTTCCAGTTGTGGGTCGGTTTACTCTGTCAAAGGAACGCTTTCAAGCTGGAGAGATATTATTCCAGCCCCGTATTACAGGAGTGTAAGTCTGTAAATAGCAGCTTCAATAAAACTGTTTCTCTCAAGTCTGTAAAGAAAATGTAGAATGTTTATAAGTTATATCTTTGTACAAGTGAAATAACCTAGATTAAATTCTAGAGAACAATGTCAAACTACATTATATTTAATTTTAATGTTTATAAATTTTAATTTATTTTGTTGTTAACATTTATGGTTGTTATTTATATAAAGTTACATGATATTAAATTTAGGCGATGTAGAGAAGAAATAAACTATGCAAAATATCAGTTAATCTTAGCTAAAGAATGGTAATTAGCGGCGTTTGTATTAAAAAACGCCGCTATAGATTTGACCTTTTGTGGCGTTTATATCCAAAAATGCCGCTATAGATCTGACCTTTTGCGGCATTTGTATCCAAAAACGCCGCAATAGATATGAACTTTTACGGCGTTTGTATCCTAAAACGCCGCTATAGATATGACCTTTTGCGGCGTTTGTATCAAAAATGCCACTATAGATCTTACCTATTACGACGTTTGTATCCAAAAACGCCGCTATTGATATGACCTTTTGCGGCGTTTATATCCAAAAATGCCGTTATAGATATGATCTTTTGCGGCATTTGTGAAATAAAAACGCCGCTATAGATCTCAACCTGCGGTATTTGTTTCAAAAACGCCGCTATAGAACT